CAAGCTGGCAAAGACTCAGGAGAGTTAATGCATGGGTCTATAGATTTCTGGACAATTGTTCATCACAAAAGCATGAGAGAACAACAGGTGAACTCTCTCCAGAAGAAATTGAAGATGCGGAAATTACCCAGAATTACCCAGCTTCAGAAGGATAAATTCAGTGATGAGTACACCAACTTTTCAAAAGGCGAACAACAATTATCAACTAAATCAAAACTCCTTAGCCTTCAGCCAGTTCTTGATGATCAGGGTCTCATGAGAGTAAATGGTCGGTTAAGGCAAGCTGAATGTCTTTCCTTTGGATCAAGATTCCCAATTATCCTGCCTCGAGATAATTGGGTAACCAAGCTAATTGTAAAGCACTACCACGAAGCTGGAAATCATGTTATGGGAACAAACCAAACACTATCAACACTATTGTCCAAATTCTGGATCCTGTCTGGAAGAGAAGAAATCAGAAAGTGGGAACGTGAATGTGCTATATGCAAACTGAGCTTACCAATTGATGGCACCATTATCTGCCTTTAGAGTGCGGCCTTCACTTCGAGCATTTACTGATGTAGGTGTGGATTTTGCTTGACCATTCCTGACCACTAAAGGACGGGCAAAGAAGAGACAAAGCGTTACTTATGTCTCTTCACGTGTCTCAAGGCGAGAGCTGTCCACCTTGAAATTGCCTTTGGCCTAGATACAGACTCGCTCTTAAATGCTTTCTATCGCATGGTAAGCAGAAGAGGTCTTCCTCAAGTCATGGTTTCTGACAATGGTACGAACTTTGTTGGAGCAGTAAAAGAACTGAAAGAGCTTGTTCAACAAATGGATCAAGACGTCGTTGTGAGATCTCTTGCAAATAGAGGAGTAAAATGGTTCTTTAATCCTCAACACACTCCTCATTTTGGAGGAATATTTGAAACAATGATGAAAGCAGCAAAGCGTGCTATCTACGCCATCCTCAGCAAGAGGGACGTTGGCAGGAGCAGAAGCACATAAATTCAAGACTTCTCACATACCAGTCAGCTTACCCTCAAGATGAGACACCACTGACGCCAAACCAATTCATTCATGGACAAGCTGGAGGTATATTTGCCCCTGAATGTGTGGATTCAACAGACTTCAACCCGAGAAGACGCTGGCAGAGGATTCAAGAACTTGTGCGGTATTTTTGGAAAAGATGGATGCGGGAATGGTTGCCAAGCCTCAACACCCGCAGGAAAAGGAATAAACAAGGTCGAAGCTCTCACAAAAAGCCCAAAGTTATTATTTGGAGCATCTTTTTCTGCATCTTATTCATTAACAATGCCACTTAAGCAAAAAACCAGATTTGACTGAAATTAATGCAGATATGCAGGAACTTTGTCAGCTTTTATTGGAAATGCCTACGAAAGATGATATAAAACAACTGATGAAGTCGATGGTCAACGAATATCTTGACTCATTAAGAGAACAGTTGAAAGACGAAGTTACAGAAACTGTGATCTCCAAAATGGGCATGGCGCATAGACGAGGTTAAAACTGATATGATGGTCTTAAAGAAAGAAAACGAAAAGCTCCGAAAAGACATAGAAAAAAACCAAGCGCAAATGGATGAAATGGAATTGAAATTTGCTGAAGTAGCTTCTCGTGCAAACGAAGCTTTTAGACAGAGTAATTAAAACGAGCAATTCTCCAGAAAGAACAATATCAAAGTGTTCAATTTACCCGAATCTGAAGGTAAAGATGTGAGAAAATATTCACGGAATTGATGAAAAGTAAAGTAAACTCTGATGTAAACCAGGATGACATATTGGCTATTCATAGAATTGACCATGCCAACATCCAGTTACAAAATCGGTGTTAATAAAATTCACATCTTCAGAGGCAAAATCTCGAGTTATTCGTTTGAGGAAACAGATTCGTGAGAAGTTGGAGTCGAAGTTGGCCGATGATGTTACTAAAACTAATGTTGTCCTCATAAACAGACTCAAGAGTCACGCTGGGATTGAAAGTACCTGGAATTTCAACGGGCGGGTTTACGCAACAACAACCACAACGGGCAAACGGTTCAAGTTTAACCCCTGCGACGACATTGATAAGGTTACAGGTAAACGTCAGTAAAATGTGCCAGGTATGTCGCATGTACAGGTAAACGTCAGTGAAGTGTGTCAGGTATGTCGCATGTACAGGTAAACGTCAGTGAAGTATGCCAGGTATGTCGCATGTACAGGTAAACGTCAGTAAAATGTGTCAGGTATGTCGCATGTACAGGTAAACGTCAGTAAAATGTGCCAGGTATGTCGCATGTACAGGTAAACGTCAGTAAAATGTGTCAGGTGTGTCACATGTACAGGTAAACGTCAGTGAAGTGTGTCAGGTGTGTCGCATGTACAGGTAAACGTCAGTGAAGTGTGTCAGGTGTGTCATATGTACAGGTAAACGTCAGTGAAGTATGCCAGGTGTGTCACATGTACAGGTAAACGTCAGTAAAATGTGTCAGGTATGTCGCATGTACAGGTAAACGTCAGTGAAGTGTGTCAGGTGTGTCACATGTACAGGTAAACGTCAGTGAAGTATGCCAGGTGTGTCACATGTACAGGTAAACGTCAGTAAAATGTGCCCGGTATGTCGCATGTACAGGTAAACGTCAGTAAAGTGTGTCAGGTATGTCGCATGTACAGGTAAACGTCAGTGAAGTATGCCAGGTATGTCGCATGTACAGGTAAACGTCAGTGAAGTGTGTCAGGTATGTCGCATGTACAGGTAAACGTCAGTGAAGTGTGTCAGGTATGTCGCATGTACAGGTAAACGTCAGTGAAGTGTGTCAGGTGTGTAACATGTACAGGTAAACGTCAGTAAAATGTGTCAGGTATGTCGCATGTACAGGTAAACGTCAGTAAAATGTGCCAGGCATGTCGCATGTACAGGTAAACGTCAGTAAAATGTGTCAGGTGTGTCACATGTACAGGTAAACGTCAGTGAAGTGTGTCAGGTGTGTCACATGTACAGGTAAACGTCAGTAAAATGTGTCAGGTATGTCGCATGTACAGGTAAACGTCAGTAAAATGTGCCAGGTATGTCGCATGTACAGGTAAACGTCAGTGAAGTGTGTCAGGTGTGTCGCATGTACAGGTAAACGTCAGTAAAATGTGTCAGGTATGTCGCATGTACAGGTAAACGTCAGTAAAATGTGCCAGGTATGTCGCATGTACAGGTAAACGTCAGTAAAATGTGTCAGGTATGTCGCATGTACAGGTAAACGTCAGTGAAGTATGCCAGGTGTGTCACATGTACAGGTAAACGTCAGGGAAGTGTGTCAGGGGTGTTGCATGTAGAGGTAAACGTCAGTAAAGTGTGTCAAAAGTCAAAAGTCAAAAGTCAAAAGATGTTTATTGTATGAAAGGCCTCCGGCCCATATACATGAGAGTTACAGCGATAAAGGAATATTCTGGATATTTACATATATATTTAAGGGTATACAATTCGCTTTATAAGAAGATCTCTTTTAGCTAATGCGTATTTTATATATAAGGACAATTGAGCAAGAATATTTTCATTATTGGTTTGTAACAAAGATATATATGCATAATGGGGCTGCTTTGCAAGAAGATGGTGCGGTATATATTTCTGTCTTAATTCGTGATAACAAGGACATATCAGGGTAAAATGAATTTCATTTTCTATTCCAACGTTACATAAAGGACAATATCGACGTTCTTTCTGGACAGAGGTTTTTCTACCCTCATTAATCATTAAAGATAACAAACCTAAACGATACTTTACGAACATTGTTCTTAAACTATAAGTTGTAATTATTGATAAGTATTTTTCTGGCTGGAGTAACGTTTTAAAGGTCCTGTAATATTCATATCGTGAGCTTGAATCTAGGGTGGATTTCCATTCTTGATTGAACATATCTATTGATCTAACACGAAATTCATTAATAAACCAGTTCACATCGCCAATTGTTTGGCTCAACCATACGAAACCGAAACCGTGAGAAAATAATAAATTTCTGATATCAGTTACCCAAGTGTGTTTTCCTAAATTATCCAGATTTAAAAGCATATTGTAAGCTAATTTTGGCAGACGTTGTTCGTGCATATTTAGAACCTTAAACCAATATTTTAAACATCTTATGTGAGAATTGATATACAAAGGAAGGGGGGGTTACATGTACAGGTAAACGTCAGTGAAGTGTGTCAGGTGTGTCACATGTACAGGTAAATGTGAGGAACTTGTGTCAGGTGTATTGACGACACACAGGTGTGACTCATGTACAGGTAACATTACCTGGGGTGACAGGTACGTTGGGTGTGTCACACGTTCTGGCACACCCAGCCCTCGCCTCCGCCAGATCCCCCCTCACAGAAGCCTTCCTTCTTCAGTTCCTCACAGTCGGGGAAGTTGTCGAACTTGCTCTCTACACACACATCACATTCAATGTCAGTTTAATGCCTGACCCTCTTGTAACTGTAGAACTTGCCAACTTGTGTACAGACACATGATATACAAGGGACATGATACAGTACGACGTGGAATCTGACAGAATTATCGAATATCAGTTGTTATTTTTATAACCAGTTTTACATGCATCATATAGTTGATGGACAAGATACACACTGGGCATCAGGGCATTGTGAAATGCAAGGATCGAGCTCGGACAATATTGTTCTGGCCACGGATGAATATAGACATCGAACGTGTGATTGACAACTGCAGTACTTTTCAACAAAATAGAATGTCACAGTGTAAAGAGCCAATGATTCCTACTGAAGTTCCCAAACTGCCCTGGCAGATCGTGGCTACAGATCTGTTCCAGTTAGATGGTAGAGACTACCTAATAGTGGTGGACTTTTACAGTCGCTTCAATGAGATTGCCCTGCTGGTAAACACGAAATCATCAACAGTGATAACTCATCTGAAATCCATCTTTGCTGGGCATGGCATACCTTCCAGGATCATTTCAGATAATGGACCACAATACTCGTCAACAGACTTTAAAAGTTTTGCTGATTCATGGAACATTGAACATGTGACTTCGTCACCACTGTATCCCTGGGCTAATGGTCTGGCAGAGAAATCAGTGCAAACAGTGAAACGACTTCTAACAAAAGCAAAGCAGAGCGGGTCTGATCCCTACTTGTCGCTGCTTGCCTATCGGAACACTCCCATAGGAGACACAGGGTGCTCTCCATCGCAACTACTCATGGGTAGAAGACTGCGAGATAACCTGCCGTGTAAAACCATCTTGCTGATACCCGAGACACAAGAAGGTAACAAAGTCTACACAGCTTTGTCAGATTCCAAGGACAATCAGAAATTCTATTATGATCGATCTGCACACAGCAGAGCTGACTTTCAGAGCGACGATACCATCAGGATGAGACAAGGAAGACATGGGATTCCGGCAACAGTCACAGGACGAGCTGAAACTCCAAGATCGTACTATGTGAAGACAGCAGAAGGTGCAGAGTATAGGCGAAACAAGAGAGACATGATACCTGACGAACAGAATTCACGACAGGAGGCTCCTAGCCCTCCTACTAGCACCTCTACTAGTCCAGCTGCTTCTGCAAAGATAGAGATATCATCGCACCAAACAACCACAACATCGACTCCAATCGCAACTCCTAACACATCGCGGCAACCAACTGGTGTCACATCGAAGGGTCGTCTGATCTTCAAACCATCACGCTATGATTTATGCTGATGTGGAAAGACTTTTATTTGTTAATCTCTTAACATGCTTTTCTTTACAAGAAAGTTTAAATGATTGATTCAGTGCTGACTATACAGTTAGTGCTAACAAGGGACTGTTTATTTCTTTTCGTAACAACAGAGGGGATGTCACATATTTCGTTTAATTGTGAATCAATATGTTGTACCAGATTGGAACACGGTGGTTCGTTTCAGTTCTCCGATTCGACTGGGGGTATATAAAGTTGCTCGTCATGTGCTTAATGGCCTGATCACTTGTGTGTCCTGTTTTATAAGAATGTGAACATATAACACGAAGGAGAGGAAAACAACTAGAATAACACAATTAGAATTAAAACTAGCGTGGGAAGTTAAAAGGAATAGCACTAGTTGGACAATACAATATAAAATAGGCTATAGATCGCCAGCAACTACAGGTAGATCACCATACTAGGGACCATGGGGACTTACAGTTCTTTTGCTACCTGCATGGACCCTAGTTGGATTTACACCGTCCCTTCAGCAGCTGGCGATTGTAGGATAATTTAGCCGATATTTAAAAGAACAAAGATACTACATTTAAAAACTTGGTACGTGAAAAGTTTACTTTGAACGTTTTTGGGACTTACGTACCCTCTCAGGAGGGCAATAATTTTACGCTACTTCAACCCCCTTTGAGGATACAGCCACTAACAATTTGATAATCTGATCTACCAATTATAAAACCTTATCTATTTACAAAACACTTATCAAAATTCATTTAACAAGTTAAGTCTATCTCTTTTAAAAAGTCAATAATTTAATGATAATTAACTTTATTAAAAAGGTCCTTTGCTGTTTTAATATTGAAATATTTATCCCTTATGATAGAGTGAGTGAGTTAATATTTAACGTCACATCGGCAATATATCACCCAAATCGTGACGAGAACAATCCATACAATAAAAGATGAAAACATTTGGAAGATAAAACCTGTCGACGATGGTCAGTACAAATACTAGAGAATCACCGATATGAATATAAAACTAGCGAGCAAAGCTAAAACATTCCAATTAAAGAAGAAAATACAGTATAAAACACGGGCTATAGATCGCCAACAACTGAAGGTAGATCACCATACTAGGAACCACGGGGACTTACAGTGCCTTTGCTACCTGCATGGATCCTAGCTGGATTTACACCGTCCCTTCAGCCGCTGGCGATTGTAGGAAAATTTAGCCAACACTTACAATAACACAAATACTACGTTTGAAATATGATAATTTATATTTTAATTTGAAAGTTTTGGGACTTACGTACCCTCTCAGGAGGACAATTATTTTACCGTACTTTAGCCCCCTTTGAGGGTACAGCCTATAACAATCTAAGTTACTAATCTAAACTACCAATCATTAAAATACATCTATCTACAGAACATATTATTAAAAATTCATCTATGAAATCAATTTCTTTAAAAAAAACCAATAATTAAATGAAAATTAACGGTGTTCCTTAACTAGATCCTTAACTGTTTTAACATTGAAATATTTGTCCCTTATGATGGAGAATTCAACACAGTCAAGCAGGATATGCTTGACGGTGACTTTCTCATCACAAGAGATACAAAACGGAGGATCTTCGCCCTTGAATAAATATTCGTGAGTATATCTAGTATGGCCAATGCGACATCGTCGCATAATGACCTCTTCAAATCTGGACTGACAACCCAAGTAGGTGTAACCGATATAGGGTTTTATTGCATGCAATTTATTGATACCTACCTGGCTGTCCCACTTCTTTTGCATCAGATCACGGATGTAGGTTCTAATGCTAGCTTTGTAATCAGAGTATGGAATAAGAAGTGGTGTCACAGATTTATTGAGTGCTGCCTTGGCAGCAAGATCAGCCATTGTATTCCCAGAAATGCCAACGTGGCTGGGTAACCAACAAAAGACGATGTCGCATTGGCCAGTAGCAAACTCATTATAAAATTCAATAATTTCTAACAAAAGTGGATGTTTACAAGAAAGATTTTTAATAGACCGAAGGCACGAAAGAGAATCGGAAAAGATTATGTATTGTTTATATTTACGGTGTTTATTAATATATTGAAGAGTTGTTAATATGGCGTTAGCTTCTGCTGTGAAAATAGAGCTGTTATTTGGTAGTCGAGAAGATATTGTTCTGGATCCAATGACAGTGGCACATGCCACTGCGCCACCATCCTTGGACCCATCTGTAAATAAGAATTTGTATGTATTATATATATTTTTTAATTGATTATATTCTTGTTTATACTGTAATTCATTAGATTCAGATTTCTTCAACTTTGTCAGAGTTAGGTGAACTTCAGGCCTCACCAGTTGCCAAGGAGGAGAAGAAAGAAGACGGGATAGAGCTATATTGTCCAGCTCAATGCCGACAGCAGAAATGAATGGCGTAATTCTTAGCCCAAGAGGCGGAACAAGAGAAGACTTTTTGTTGTATAAATCCTAATAAAGAGGATTGAAAACACAGTTAAATGCAGGATTAGACTCCACCATATACGATGAAGCCATAATCAAGTTCACACCAATGATCTGTATAAGTGAAGGAGGGTAGTTTGATCCCCTCCCTACTTTGAATTGGAAATAACCCTTCACAAATCATAGGCCTTTAGGCATTTAGCTTTAAGGGATTAAATATGCGGCAAAACAGTTAAATGGGAGTCGAAAATTAGACCCAAGAACTTGGCCTCCTTGACAACGTTGATGGGAGTGCCATTTAAAGAAGGTTCTGGGTCTTTATGCGGCTTATATTTTCTACAAAAGTGTAGACAATTAGTTTTGGATTTGGAAAATTTAAAGCCGTTTTCAAGACGCCATTTATTTATTTTATTTAAACACAACTGCAATTGCCGTTCAATAGTATGCATATTTTTACCACGACAAGAAATATTAAACTCATCCACAAAAAGTGATCCATCGATTGAATCGTTTAAAACCTTGGATAAACTGTTGATCTTGATACTAAATAAAAAGACAGACAAAATACTGCCTTGAGGGACACCCTGATTCTCATTGTAATGATCAGGCAGGGTTGAACCCACTCGGACTTGAAATTGTCTGTTTCTTAAAAACTGTGAGGTAAACGACCCCTCAAACCAAAGTCATGTAAATCCTTCAAAATGCCATGCTTCCAGGTCGTATTATAAGCATTCTCAAGATCAAAGAAATTGATACAGCGTGTTGTTTATTTACTATTGCATTTTTAACAAAGGATTCTAAACGTACCAAAAAATCAATGGTACTACGATTTTTCCTGAAATTTGTTATAAGGTTAATGGTTTCAAGATACCAAGTCAATCTATTATTCACCATACGTTCCATGGTTTTACAGACAATGTTTCGCCAAATTTATTTGCAATTTTAGACTTGTCAGTAATTAAATTATCGCAATCTTTAAGATGGTGAACAGCAGTTTTTGAACCTTTGCCTTTAATTCTTTGAACCATGTTCCATACCTTAGACATTGGGGTACGTGAATTAATTTTGGGGACATAATTTCTCTAAGATAGTCGTTTGTTTTGTTTAAAGGTACGACGCGCCTTTGCATTAAGTATTTTACATATATTTAAGTTATGGACAGTTGGATGATTGCGGAAATAATGCTCTGCCTTTTCCCTCGCTTTTCTGGCTTGTCTACAATCTGTATTAAACCATGGTTTTCGTTCATGTGGAGTCGTAGAGGACTTTGGTATACACTCATCAGCTATTTCATTTTGAACGTCAGCAAAAGTTTGAATGGGATCAGTTATATCACTGAAACATTCAGGTCGCAGTTTCGATTTACAAATAGTCTGATATAAAGACCAGTTAGCCTTCAAAAAGTTCCATTTTGTATACGATGGAGAATCAGATGGAGTTATTTCTGAAAGGATAGTTGGGAAGTGGTCACTTCCACAAAGGTCATTATGAACAGACCAATCAAATTCATTCAGGAGGTTAGAATCTGCAAGAGACAAATCCAGAGAAGAATAAGTGCCAGTTGCAGGATGCAGATAGGTGCTTGAATCATCATTAAATATGCACAGGTCATATTTGGAAATGAAATCTTCAAGTATTTTGCCTTTAGTATTAGTGTTAGTACTGCCCCAGAGTGGGTTGTGACCGTTTAGGTCACCCATAATAACACATGGTTTCGGGAGTTGATCATAGAGTGATTGAATTTCAGTCTGCAGAAGTGCCGATGAAGGCTGAATATATTGAGAACATAATGTAAATGCTACACCCAGAGTAAGCTGCACTGCGGCAGCTTTGAGATAAGTGTTAAGTGTAACAGGGCTATGAATAACATCCTGTCGTATAAGGATAGTAGAACC